AAACAGGGATGAGCTGGAGATGTCTCTGCCTTGGTCCTTTCACTATTGGTTGCTACTTTCTGGCAGATGTCAGGTGGTGCAGTGTAGTTTCTCCAGTGGTGTAGGGCGCAGACCTGTGATATCATGCTCCCTGATAATGCGGCATGTCTAATTAAGAGCCACATCTACTGTTGCGTGGTGAGATGCGTTTCACACTGGACATACATACTCAGCAGCAGAGTAGCATAGCACAAGGGCAGATGTCTTCCCTGTATCTGGTTGTGATCCCCAGGTTGTGCCAATCAGCTTTCATATGATATTATTTCTAGCGCCCACTTTTTGCTTGATATTCAGACAGTGCTTCTTGTAGGTCAGAACATGGTCCAGGGTAACTCCCAGGAATTCGGTTATGCTGCAATGCTCCAGTGGGATTCCTTCCCAGGTCATTCTCAGAACTCAGGATGCTTGTCTGTTCTTGAGGTGAAAAGCACATGTCTGTGTTTTAGATGGATTTGGAATCAGCTGGTTTTCCCTGTAATAGGCAGTAAGAGCACCTAGAGCTTTGGAAAGCTTCTGTGCAACCATCGCAAAGCTCCCTGCTTGAGCAGTAATGGCACGATTGTCAGCATAGATGAAACTCTCTTTCCCTTTTGGCAGTGGCTGGTCATTTGTGTAAATGTTGAACATTGATGGAGCAAGCACGGTCCCCTGAGGCAGGCCATTCTTCTGTTATCACCATCTGATTCTTTGGCCCTGGAACTCAACAAAAAAGCTCCTGTTTTGTAGCAGATTTCCTACAAAATCTGCTAATCCTTTGTGATATCCTTTATACATTTTTTCTCAGGAGTATGATGGAGGCTCCTTCTTTGGAAGCTTTTAAACAGAGGCTAGATGGCCATCTGTCGGGGGTGCTTTGAATGCAATATTCCTACTTATTGGTACAGTGTTGGACTGGATGGCCCATGAGGTCTCTTCCAACTCTATGATTCTATGATTCTAGACATTGAGCCATGGTAAATGCATTAACTCTAAAATGAAGGTGCACCCCTAAAGGCACATGTATGTGAGCTGTGGGTTAAAGTTTCTCCCCTTTTTTTCTTTTTTGTGCATAGTTTTCCCCCATAGTGCTACTACCACCTGAATAAACCCCCATCCTGATCCCTTTCCAGGAATTTAGCCACGACAGAGTGCACGAATCTGCAAATGGGGCAAAGGACAGGCACACTGGTTCTGGTTGCCTGATCCCATTCCATACCCTCCCTATTCCTCTCTTCTGATTCTACCATGACAAGGGGATTCTACCCACATTCACTTGTGGCATTTCAAACTGACATTGGGAGGAAGGCTCTCTCCCAATCATAACAGGGGTATTTGTCCATGTCTTGAGACCACTATACTTTCCAAACAGAGAAATGGTATGTGAGACTATTAGCATCATAATTCCCCGCTTTGGCTCGCACTCTTTAAATATTTACTCTCACTATAAAACTTGGCTGGGAAATTGCTTCTGTTAGTTGCTAATGACCGTGTTGCCTTTGAAACTGGCTATTAGAAACTGCTGGAAAAAAGGGAAAGGACAGGAGAGCAATAGAATATTAAATTTGGAAGAGACCACAAGGACCATCTAATCCAATGCCTTGCAAACATGCAACTAAAGGACTTCTGAAAAATGACTATCTAGCTTCTGTTTGAAGACCCCCTAAAGATAGGGTGCACATTCAGAAGATCTACAAGCCACTCTAAACACCTTCGCATACAAGAAGCTCGGCCTGTCACTGAACATCGAGAAAACCAAAGTGCTGTTCCAGGAGTCACCAGTCAATCCCTTTCCAATGCCAGAGATACAGCTTAATGGTGTAACATTAGAAAATGTTGACCTTTTCCGCTACCTTGGTAGCCACCTCTCTACCAAAGTCAACCATCGACACCGAAATGCAACACCACCTGAGCTCTGCGAGTGCAGCATTTTTCTGAATGAAGCAGAGAGTGTTTGAGAACTGGGACATCCATAGGGATACCAAGGTGCTTGTTTATAAATGTATTGTCCACCGAACCCTGCTATACGCCTGCAAGACGTGGACTGTCTACAGACGTCACATGCAACTCCTGGAACGAGTCCATCAGTGCTGCCTCCGGAAAATCCTGCAAATCTCTCGGGAAGACAAGCGGACAAACATCAGTGTGCTGGAAGAAGCAAAGACCACCAGCATTGAAGCAATGGTCCTCCACCATCATCTCCACTGGACTGGCCACGTTGTTCGGATGCCTGACCACCATCTCCCAAAGCAGTTGCTCTACTCCGAACTCAAGAACGGAAAATGGAATGTTGGAGGACAGGAAAAAAGAGATTTAAAGATGGGCTCAAAGCCAACCTTAAAAATTCTGGCATAGACACTGAGAACTGGGAAGCCCTGGCCCTTGAGCACTCCAGCTGGAGGTCAGCTGTGACCAGCAGTGCTGTAGAATTCGAAGAGGCACGAATAGAGGGTGAAAGAGAGAAACGTGCCAAGAGGAAGGCGCATCAAGCCAACCCTGACTGCCTTCCATCGGGAAACCAATGCCCTCACTGCGGGAGAAGATGCAGATCAAGAATAGGGCTCCACAGTCACCTACAGACCCACCAGAACACTGATCCTGGAAGACTATCCTACCCGGCCAATGAGGGATTGCCTAAGTAAGTAAAGATAGGGTGTCCACCACCTATCAGAGCAATCTGTTCCATAAGCAAACAGCTCTTACAATATGTTTAGATGGAATCTGGAGTCTTATGTTTTGGGTTCATTGGTTTGTTGTCTTGTCTTTGGAACAGCAGAAAACATGCTTGTTTCATCATCTACATGCTATCCCTCCAGATATTTAAAGATAACTACTGTACAATGTCACCTCCCAGTCTTTTTTTCTCCAGGGTAAACAAACCTATCTCCCCAAGTTATTCTTCACAAGGCTTGGATTCCAGACTTTTCATGGAGTCATAAAGTTGGAAGAGTCCACAAGGACCATCCAGTCCAACCCCCTGCATCGTCTTTCCACCCATCTACATTGAAGAATTATATTTTGCATCCTATGGATTCCTGGGATTTGTAGCTTGTGGTGGCACCAGAGCTAACAGACAGGGAAGGCTAAATATTTCACAAAACTACAAATCCCAGAATTCCATAGCAGTTAATGTGGTGTCAAACTGCTATCATTCTGTAGTGGGGATACAATCTTAGGCACCCATCGCTGAACATAGTCCAGATTTGTCAAGCTATTTTATTTTCTGAAAGCCACACAAACTTCTTTCCAGGGTCTCTATTGTTATACCTCAGATTACTTTGAAGTGCAGCAAGATTATTTTTGCTGGTGTGGACAATTTTAATATTGTGTTGTCTGTGGAGTTTGAGTTTAGAATGTCTGTTTTAAAAGTATTCCATCCCCAGTTTTTCAGCTAGCTGCTAACATTTGGTGTGTTCAGGGGTGGCTTGTCCATTACGCAAAGTAAGCGGTTGCAGTACACTTTTTTTGCCAGGGGGGCAGAGGCGTCTCTGTAAATGCCCCTCGACCGCCACTTGAGGAGCTCCCCCTCGGATCACAACAGCCCTAGCAGTCCGGGGAGAGCCTCGGCTTCCTTGCCTCGCTGCTGGGCGATCCTCTTCCCGAAGGGGTCGGTCCCTTGAGCCTCGTGTAGCCCCTCTCGTTCGTGCTCCACCCGGCCGCTGGGTGCACACGCAGAGCCGGCACTCAATCGTTCTCCGCGTTCAATCCCTTCCCCATGACCGCTCCCTTTCCCGAGCCCCCAGCGCTCCACCTGCCTCGCGCTCCTCTCCTCTCCGCAATCCACAGGTGGGCCAAGGGGCAGAGCTGCTGCGCTGCACTTGCTCCCTTGCCTGGCCCGCTTCAGGTCCAGAGGCGTGTCTGAAGACCCCAGCATGCACACCAAAAGTCACCTCTTCTCCTGACTTTCTCGTCAGCCATTGGGACCAAGAGAGAGAGAGAGAGACTTCCACCTCCACTCCCTCCTTTGTTTTCGCGCCTACCTTCAGGAAAAGCAGGCATCTCTGCCTCACTCAAATCTAATGCTCTGGTTACATCCTGAATAGACTACTGCAATGCTCTCTACGTGGGGCTGCATTTGAAGACTTCTCGTACGCTTCAATTAGTCCAACGGTCCACAACCAGGCTACTCACCGGAGCGGCGTACAGGGAGCATACTACTCCTTTGTTGTGCCAGCTCCACTGGCTACCAATCAGCTTCCAAGCACAATCCAAAGTGCTGGTTTTAACCTTTAAAGCCCTAAATGGTTCTGGCCCAGATTACCTGTCCGAATGTATCTCCTGTTACGAAGCATCACAAAGCTTAAGATCATCAGAGGAGGCCCTGCTCTCGATCCCACTACTCCCACAAACACAGTTGGTGGGGACGAGGGACAGGACCTTCTCAGCAGTGGCCCCCCGTCTGTGAAATTCCTTCTCTAAGGGCATCAGGATGGCCACCTCCCTCTTGTCCTTTAGAAGACAATTGAAGATTGGCTGTGGGATCAGACATTCGTCTAATGGATAGCGACAATTGGAAGCAAAGTTACGACATATGCGACATTGGATTTATCCAACTTGGTCTTGGTTTTAATTGGCATCTTAATCTGTTGTTTAATGAACTTGGTAATGTATCTGTATAATGTGTTTTAATGGTTTTTTGCTGTTTTAATTGTAACTCTTGCTGTTTATATGTTGACAGCATCACATGATGCTTATGTGAAACTACCCTGAGCCCACTTTGGGGGCGGAGAAGGGCAGGGTAGAAATACAAATAATAATAATAATAATAATAATAATAATAATAATAATAATGTGCACCTCAACTTAGAAATCCCTGAAATCCAAATAAGTATTTATCATATTATGTAAATCTAATGTGCAACCTAATTTAGTTTTTTAAAAAGGTGAGCATTAGAATCGAGTAAATACGGGACTTGCATTCCAAGAGGAGGTGTGTATTGCATCACTCTAAAGATGTAACGTAAGCCATTTTTTTTCCTTTGTAGGTGAAGGAAGCAATGCAAAGAATCCATGACAGAGGCAATATAGGAAAATTAATTCTGGATGTGGAGAAGACGCCTACTCCATTGGTAAGTAGAAAGAAGTGAAAAATCGTTTCTAAAAAATGAACATGACATTCCAACATTGGCAGGGAACTATATGACCAAAGGAACCCATAACAACCCATATTAAAGGTAAAGGTAAAAGGTAAAGGTAGTCCCCTGACATTAAGTCCAGTCATGTCTGACTCTGGGGTGTGGTGCTCATCTCCATTTCTAAGCCGAAGAGCCAGCGTTGTCCATAGACACCTCCAAGGTCATGTGGCTGGCATGACTGCATGGAGCGCCGTTACCTTCCCGCCGGAGCAGTACCTATTGATCTACTCACATTTGCATGTTTTCGAACTGCTAGGTTGGCAGAAGCTAGGGCTGACAGCGGAAGCTTACGCCGCTCCCCAGAATCAAACCTGCAACCTTTCGATTAAACAAGCTCAGCAGCTCAGTGCTTTAACCCACTGCACTACCAGGGGCTCCTAACAACCCAAATTAGGGCCAGTTAATCACAAAACAAAAACACACACATAACTAAGCATTTTACCTTTGTGCAGTATCATTTGTTCATATGATTTTTTTAAAGAATCAGTGAACCAAATACAGGACAGATAGACCAGAATGTGTTGTTGTTGTTCATTTGTTCAGTCGTCTCCAACTCTTCATGACCTCATGGACCAGCCCACGCCAGAGCTCCCTGTCGGCTGTCACCACCCCCAGGTGGCAGCTTATTCTGGTAAACCCTGTGTTAGACCAGTGAAGTGATTATTTGGAATTAGCACCTGTCTCTAAAGAGAACCATTGATGTTCCAGAAGCTATACATAGTCAGTCCCATATTCATCAACATTTCACAAATGAAAACTATAACCCATATGGCCAAACTGTATCAAGTGGCATTAAGATAGCAACAGCTTTGTAGGTAAGAACCTACACCTTGAATTGGGACCGGAAAATGTCTTGCTTGTTATTTCTTGATTTAAGTCGTTGACATGCTGGCTGATACCCAAACAAGGGATGGGCTGGAGATGTCACTGCCTTGGTCCTTTCACTATTGGCTGCTGCTTCCCGATGGATGTCAGGTTGTGCGATACCGGCTAGACAGTGTAATTTCTCCAGTGGTGTAGGGCGCAGACACCCCGTGATAATGCGGCATGTCTCATTCAGAGCCACATCCACTGTTTTAGCATGTGAGATGTGTTCCACACTGGGCATGCATATTCAGCAGCAGAGTAGCATAGCGCAAGGGCAGATGTCTTCACTGTGTCTGGTTGTGATCCCCAGGTTGTGCCAGTCAACTTTCGTATGATATTGTTTCTAGCACCCACTTTTTGCTTGATGTTCAGGCAGTGCTTCTTGTAGGTCAGAGCACGGTCCAGAGTGACTCCCAGGTATTTGGGTGCTGCAATGCTCCAGTGGGATTCCTTCCCAGGTAATCCTCAGAGCTCGGGATGCTTGTCTGTTCTTAAAGTGAAAAGCACATGTCTGTGTTTTAGGGATTAGGGATCAGCTGGTTTTCCCTGTAATAGGCAGTAAGAGCACCTAGAGCTTCGGAGAGCTTCTGTTCAACCATCTCAAAGCTCCCTGCTTGAGCAGTAATGGCACGATCATCAGCATAGATGAAACTCTCTGTCCCTTCTGGCAGTGGCTGGTCATTTGTGTAGATGTTGAACATGGATGGAGCAAGCACGCTCCCCTGAGGCAGGCCGTTCTTCTGTTTCCGCCATCTGCTTCTCTGGCCCTGGAACTCAACAAAAAAGCTCCTGTTTTGTAGCAGGTTTCCTATGAGGCGGGTGAGGTGGTAGTCCTTTGTGATATTATACATTTTTCTCAGGAGGAGGCGGTGGTTTACAGTATCATAAGCTGCTGACAGGTCTATGAAGACAGCTCCTGTGATCTGCTGCCTTTCAAAGCCATCTTCTATGTCAGGTTCAGCACTTGTGATGTGCAGCTTTTGCCTTTCTTGAAGCCAGCTTGCTGTGGAATCAGACATGGATCTATTTTTTCCATAATTCTATGCAAAATAAGTCTTTCCAGAACTTTTTAGAGGTTGCACAACAGGGATATTGAAATGTTTTAATTATTGGTTTTAATGTATATGCTGTATTATATATATGCTGTATGTATATATGGCATCAAATTGTTCCTGTTTTGTGAGCCGCCCTGAGTCCCCTTTGGTTTTTTTTTTGTCATGTCAGGAGCATCCTGTTGTGGTGAGCATCCTGTCTCACCTTTGGGGTGAGAAGGGCAGGATATAAATAAATAAATAAATAAATACATCTTTATGTCCTCATCCTAGCTGGAAACATGGCAGGATCTTCACCTTCATGACCGTATCTCTCTCCATGTACCAACCTGGGCCCTTCAATCTTCGGGGGAGGCCCCCCTTTCACCCCTACCAATCTCACAAGTTTGTCTTGTGGGCACAAGGGAGAGAGCCTTCTGCTCTGTGGCCCCCGACTCTGGAACTCATTACCTGGAGAGATAGGGAAAGCCCCTTCACTAGAAACGTTCAAAACGTTCAAAAAGAACCTTAAAACCTGGCTCTTCCACTGTGCCTTTGGCAAACAAACAGGGAAAATACAAAATGTGTGAGTTTGGTAGTTGATTAAATGTCCTTTGACCAGTATCTGGCCACTTGGAGTGCTTCTGGTGTTGCTGCAAGAAGCTCCTCCATTGTGCATGTTGCAGGGCTCAGGTTGCATTGCAGCAGGTGGTCAGTGGTTTGCTCCTCTCCACACTCACATGTCAAGGATTCCACTTTGTGGCCCCATTTCTGAAGGTTGGCTCTGCATCTCGTGGTGCCAGAGTGCAGTCTGTTCAGCGCCTTCCAAGTCGCCCAGTCTTCTGTGTGCCCAGGGGGGAATCTCTCATCTGGTATCACCCATGGATTGAGGTGCTGGGTTTGAGCCTGCCACTTTTGGACTCTCGCTTGCTGAGGTGTTCCAGCAAGTGTCTCTGTAGATCTTAGAAAACTATTTCTAGATTTATGTCGTTGACGTGCTGGCTGATACCCAAACAAGAGATGAGCTGGAGATGTCTCTGCCTTGGTTCTTTCACTATTGGCTGCTACTTCCCGGCGGATGTCAGGTGGTGCAATACCGGCTAAGCAGTGTTATTTCTCCAGTGGTGTAGGGCGCAGAAACCTTGTGATAATGTGGCATGACTCATTAAGAGTCACATCTACTGTTTTAGTGTGGTGAGCTGTGTTCCACACTGGGCATGTGTACTCAGCAGCAGAGTAGCATAGCGCATGGGCAGATGTCTTCACTGTGTCTGGTTGTGATCCCCAGATTGTGCCAGTCAGCTTTCGTATGATATTGTTTCTAGCACCCACTTTTTGCTTGATGTTCAGGCAGTGCTTCTTGTAGGTAGCACAAGAAGCATTATTATTATTATTATTATTATTATTATTATTATTATTACCTTTTGGAAGCAAACGCTACATTCTATGCTACTGACCTACAGTCCAGTGGCCTGCTTTACAAATCTTCTGTTTTCAATGCAGATGGCCAATGACAGCACAGAAACCAGTGAAGCTGGCGAAGAGGAGGAAGATCACGAAGGGGACACTGAGAACAAAGAGCGTATGCCATTCATCCAGCAATAGCTGCGAGCAATGGGAATGAAAGTCAGAAGCAGTGACAGAGCAGAAGAAGGGAAGACGACTGGGAAAATCCATTTTGTGCACCAGTGAACAAATGCTCTAGTATAGTGTGTGTTGTTTTTCTGTCTGCAGTCAGCTGAGCTATAAGCTGTTGGTCATTGATGTTTTGAACTCAAGTGCCATTCCCACCCAGTACAGTATTATGGCATTCCTTCATGTGTTACCCAGTTTGCTTGTGACTGTCCTATCACGCTCCTGACTAAAGCCTTATTAAGATCTGCAGTGATTTAGAGGCAGGAACATCCTTCTCATGCAGTCTCAAAACCAAATTGATCGAGCCAGTTTAAAAGTGGGAAGTGTTATTAGTCAGCTGTGGGAAAATCAAATCAGAATTAAACAACACATTCACTCCTCTGATGGGACTATCATTTTTCTGAGGTTGGAGATGGGAATATATTGTTTGGCATTGCGCATTTGCTGTTGTGTAATTTGGCAACATCATGTATAGACACAAACCAAAGTAGGCTTGATTTCAATGCAAATTCTTTTCCTTCAAAATGTTGGGAAAGGATGGCATGAACTTGGCCTTCAAACAAATTGATCTATGCGTAAGGCACATGTTGTTGTTCATTCGTTCAGTTGTCTCCGACTCTTCGTGACCTCATGGACCAGCCCACGCCAGAGCTCCCTGTCGGCCGTCACCACCCCCAGCTCCTTCAAGTCAGTCCAGTCACTTCAAGGATGCCATCCATCCATCTTGCCCTTGGTCGGCCCCTCTTCCTTTTGCCTTCCACTTTCCCCAGCATCATTGTCTTCTCCAGGCTTTGCTGTCCTCCTCATGATGTGGCCAAAGTACTTCAACTTTGTCTCTAGTATCCTTCCCTCCAATGAGCAGTCGGGCTTTATTTCCTGGAGGATGGACTGGTTGGATCTTCTCGCAGTCCAAGGCACTCTCAGAACTTCCCTCCAACACCACAGTCAAAAGCATCTATCTTCCTTCGCTCAGCCTTCCCTAAGGTCCAGCTCTCACATCCGTAGGTTACTACAGGGAATACCATGGCTTTGACTATGCGGATCTTTGTTGCCAGTGTGATGTCTCTTTACTATTTTATCGAGATTGGACATTGCTCTCCTCCCAAGAAGGAAGCGTCTTCTGATTTCCTGGCCACAGTCTGCATCTGCAGTAATCTTTGCACCTAGAAATACAAAGTCTGTCACGGCCTCCACATTTTCTCCCTCTATTTTCCAGTTGTCAATCATTCTTGTTGCCATAATCTCGTTTTTTTTATGCTTAACTGCAACCCAGCTTTTTCCCTTTCTTCTTTCACCTTGGTTAGAAGGCTCCTTAGCTCCTCCTCCCTTTCAGCCCTCAAAGTGGTATCATCTGCATATCTAAGTTTGTTAATGTTTCTTCCAGCAATTTTCACCCCAGCCTTGCATTCGACAAGCCCCGCACATCGCATGATGTGTTCTGCATACAAGTTAAAAAGGTTGGGTGAGAGTATGCAGCCTTGCCGTACGCCTTTCCCAATCTGGAACCAGTCTGTTGTTCCGTGGTCAGTTCTTACTGTTGCTAGTTGGTCCTTGTACAGATTCCTCAGGAGAGAGACCAGTAAGGCACATACAATTCTTTATTTCAAGAGTGAAGATTTCTAGACTGCAATTCCTATGATGTCTTTCTATAATCAGTAGGTCTAGAAGTCCAAAATATATGAAGCGTCGCCGCTTCTCTACCTTCTATCTTATGTGATAGTTGCGACAAAGCTCAGACACCCATTCTCTCCAACAAGATTTATTTATTTACAGCATTTATATTCCGCCCTTCTCACCCCGCAGGGGACTCAGGGCTGATTACAGCGTACACATATATGGCAAACATTCAATGCCAATTTTGACATACAACATATACAGACATACACAGAGGCTATTTAACTTTTTCTGGCTGCCAGGGAAGCTGTCGCTTTCATCATCCATCTGCGACACTGATGAAGTACTTCCGCATTCTCCGCATGCTTCCCCGCTGGAATGCTTTGCTGGAGTCTTTTTTATGGCCTCATAAATTAGTTAATTTAGCCTCCCCACACTTTAAGCTGGTACCTAATTTTCCTGCTTGACAGATGCAACTGTCTTTCAAGTTGCAAAGGTCGACAACAGGCTACACAATTGGTTGGAAACCCACTCCAACCTGGGCTGGCTTCGAACTCATGACCTTTTGGTCAGAGTGATCTTAGAAATGACAATCTTTTATTCAGCTATGAGCCTCAAATTGGTTGTATGTTTGGACCTTAGAAGTCTCATCAGCTCCAGCCAAGCATAGCTAAGATTGTGGAGTTATGGGAGCTTCATCAAAAAATATCCAAATACCCACTCTTGCTTTAACTAGAATTAGAGCATGAGCCATCCAACATGAAGGACATCCCCAAGTGCATAAAGATCCACACATATTGACCTGTCTACAATACCGAAGTAAACGAGATATTTATCTGTAGAAGAACTCCTTTTGTTCATGTTTGGCCCTACAGATGGAATGAGATGGTGGGTAGAATTCATTCTATTGAATCACAAAGTCAGGCTGCTGATAGGACAGTCATCCATCCATCCATCCCATTCATAATGATGCTTCATCTCATAAACAAACAAATCCCTCTTAATTTGTCAAGAAAAAGAAAATACCTCATCTGTACTGTTTGTTGTAAATGGAAATAGACTAGAAAGACACTGGAAAGACACTGGGAAGCCATGACCAATATAATTTTATGTATGATAGTGGTCAGAATCCACAAACGAATTCCAAATTGATTCTGTCAAGGTGCCAACAAATCCCATCGGTGTATGTTTCAATAGTCTTAGAGAAAACCCTATCGCCGGGGTCCCCAAACTAAGGCCCACAGGCCGGATGTGGCCCTCCAAGGCCCTTTACCCGGCCTCCACCCTAAACTTTACACTCAGTCTAAAATGTCTTGAAGGCACAGAAGGACAACAACAATTCTAATTAGTAGGGCTGGGTAACCACGGAAAAATTTGTTTCTAAACTCGATTCGTTTCCAGGGGGCGCTAGCGTTTCCAAATTCTAAATACTTCCAAAATTTTGAGATTTCAAAATGTCATTATTTACGAAATTTCGTTAATTTCGAATCGATTCGTTAATGGCGGACGCGATTGCGCAATATGCTAAAAAACCCTCCAAATGGGACAGGGGGAACTTCTGAAGCTTCCCTCCCCCTCTGTTGTTGACTGTTGGTGTGATAAAACAAACAACTATAAAACTTGCACCAGACATGCGAAAATAATTACGAAATAATTACGAAACAATTTTGAAACAATTACGAAACAATTGCAAAACAATACGAAATAAATTTTAAAAATTGTTTCGAATCTAATTTACTCCTCACACTATTCCTGCATGGCTCAGTATCGGATCGTAAGCTAATTTAAATACGAATTAATAACGAATTACGAAATTAACGAACGAAACCGCCCAGCCCTACTAATTAGCATGACGTCATCCAAAAGCAGGTCCACATTTCCCATTGAAATACCAATATGTTTATGTTGGTTAAAATTGTTCTTCGTTTCAAATATTGTATTATTTTTCATGATCTTTTGCACTGCAAATGAGATATGTTTCACTTTTTTTCAAATTGTAGTCCACCCATCCGCCCCCAGCAGTCTGAGGGACTCTGAATTGGATTGAGGACCCCTGCTCTATGGGATAAGTCCCCACCCTGAATAATATACTTTGTTTTAATATACTTTATTTATATTCTGCTCTATCTCCCCTCAGAGCGGGTTACAGAACACATATACAGCAAACGTTCAATGCTGTTATACAATTGACAATAATAGTAATATAATAAACCTTTATTTGTACCCCGCTACCATCTCTCACAAGGAGCCCCCAGTGGCGCAGTGGGTTAAAGCACTGAGCTGCTGAGCTTGTTGATCGAAAGGTCGCAGGTTCGATTCTGGGGAGTGGTGTGAGCTTCCGCTGTCAGCCCTAGCTTCTGCCAACCTAGCAGTTCAAAAACATGCAAATGTGAGTAGATCAATAGGTACCGCTCCGGCGGGAAGGCAACGGTGCTCCATGCAGTCATGCCGGCTACATGACCTTGGAGGTGTCTACGGACAACGCTGGCTCTTCGGCTTAGAAAGGGAGATGAGCAGCACACCCCAGAGTCTGACATGACTGGACTTAATGTCAGGGGACTACCTTTACCTTTACCTACCATCTCTCACAGGACTCGGTGCGGCTTACAAGAGGCCGAGCCCAAAGTACATCATTAGCAAAAACACAACAACAACAATACAATGCAAAAATAAATAACTCATAACAAAGCAGAACATTAACAAAAACACGACACTATTAAAGGACAGACAATACATAAACAGAGGTATAGGCTTTCCCATCTTTTTCCATCTGGAGGCTGTGCTCGACTTCAGCCACAGGGAGGTGCTGTCGCTCCATCTTCCATGCTGAGGAGCTTTTGTTGACCATAGACAACCTTGAGTCGTTGGCATGTTCTTATGGGCACCTTTTTATTACCTCCCCGCTTAAAGCGGTTCCTATCTATCTACTCACATTGCTGTTTTCGATCTGCTAGGTCAGTGATTCTCAACCTGTGGTCCCCAGATGTTTTGGCCTTCATTTCCCAGAAATGTGTTGCATTGATGGACAAAATGAAGAAAGGGAGAAAAAGGAAAAGAAAGAAAGAAAGAAAGAAAGAAAGAAAGAAAGAAAGAAAAAAGAACGGAAAAGCAAAGAACCTCATAGAAGAGACCGGGAAGTCAGGAAATCTACATTCTTATTTATTTTATTCTATCCATTCCTACATCCTTCCTACCCACTATTTCATACTCTTCTATTTCATACTCCTCCCCCCCCCCCCAAGCCCTAACTTTACTTGACCCTTAACCCTTTCTCTTTTTCCTTTACATACTACTATTTCTAATCCAATCTACGCTTTAATAAGAAGAAGAATCATAGAATCAAAGAGTTGGAAGAGACCTCATGGGCCATCCAGTCCACCCCCTGCCAAGAAGCAGGAATATTGCATTCAAATCACCCCTGACAGATGGCCATCCAGCCTCTGTTTAAAAGCTTCCAAAGAAGGAGCCTCCACCACACTCCGGGGCAGAGAGTTCCACTGCTGAATGGCTCTCACAGTCAGGAAGTTCTTCCTGATGTTCAGATGGAATCTCCTTTCTTGTAGTTTGAAGCCATTGTTCCGCGTCCTAGTCTCCAAGGAAGCAGAAAACAAGCTTGCTCCCTCCTCCCTGTGGCTTCCTCTCACATATTTATACATCACTATCATATCTCCTCTCAGCCTTCTCTTCTTCAGGCTAAACATGCCCAGCTCCTTAAGCCACTCCTCATAGGGCTTGTTCTCCAGACCCTTGATCATTTTAGTCGCCCT